AGAATCGAATCGTTTCATAGAATCGAAAAGGGAATCGGAATCGTGAAAATCTTTTCAATTCCCAACCCTAACACTCACCTTCATTTCCGCCGGTTTGTAGTAGCGGCGGTTCTTGTCCTCATTAGCCGTGCGGTAGCCATCACGAAGGAAACGCTTGAAGCCATATTTGCCGCGGAGTTTCCGGACGATCTTGTCCAGCGTTTGGCTGTAGAGGGCGTCGTCGTCGACGGCAAAAGCAGGGTAACTGATGGTGGGAAGCAAGGCAGCGTCTGTGTTCTAACCAGGGAGAAATAAAGACAGTAAACAGATGAATCAGGAGCCTTTGATGATCGAAGCTGAACATATATAAATGGTAATCTATTCACAGTGAATTAGGAAAAGCCTTGCTATTAGTTTTAAGGAACTAATATGACCAGACATTTAATTATCTGTTCAGTTTATTGAGCAGGAAAAAAACACCCATTAGGCTCCATCTTTACACCAATGAACACCAGTTAATATTATCACTTCATCAATAAAGAACCTACATTAAGCTTTTGCATTTTCCTGCATGCATGCATAACTTTCCTCAGAATCGCTTTGAGTTGATTCAGCCACCAGCTAAATGAGTGCATCCCTCTTCAGGTCTGTTTGATACGGCTTTGTATTGGATTCTCTCTCAATTTGCTCCGATCTTTGCAGCAACAAAGGCTGGAGCAGAAGCATTTAGCGGCAACGCTTTTATCTGACGTCTCATTACAGCTGCACTGCGCATATTGACAGGGCAGCCCAGGCTACAGTAGCACAATAAAAGAGCAGAGCAAACCTTGTGAAGCAACTGAATATTGAAATTGGATCTTTTGACACGGAACAAATGGCACTGATATGGTATTAGTATCTTTGCCATCTTGACACAATCCTGCAGTGTTGCAGGGCCTCCTGCTCCTTAATGTCAATCTCACGTAGCTAAAAACACCCCTCTGATCCTCTAATTACACTCATTTGATTCCTCAAATACTGGAGGTGGCTTGTCTACCCGACACACACACACACGTCAGCACACACTGATCATTGATCAGTGCAAGAGGTGGAGTGGAGAGAGGAAACAATTTTGCGCCTACTTTCTCCTCCTGATTTCATTTCATTTTTCTTCACATCTGCCCTGCTGCGGCTCTGGGGCCACATCTCACTTCTGCTGAATCTCACTGAACGTTAAACCAGCAGCAGCAGGGGTAACGTAACGATCGACCCCATGAGAGAAACAAGTCTAAATATCCAGTGACAGACCGACAGTTTATCTGATGTGTGCCATACTATGAGTTTATCAAATATGCAGAAAGCTTCAGGAAAAATCATAAAACAGCCAGAAAGGGAGGGTGGTTGCCTCAAAGGTTGTATGCCCATCCAAAAGGACACGGTAAAAATAAGCTAATATACACAAAGTGTCTGTCCTTTTTGAGCCTTAATATAAATCCAGCACCTGGTGCAATGAGCTGACCTACCGTAAATTCCGGTTTATAAGCCGCTACTTTTTTCCCACTGTTTGAACGGTGCGGCTAATAGGGATGGAACGGTTTATGAAAACCGTCCGAACCGTTCGGTTCGACTGTCTCGGTTCGGTTCGCGTGTGTTTCGTTCGGTTCATGCTCTGCTCCTTTTTCTCATAGGCGAAGCGTTTACACTCCAGCGCAGAAGGTGGCGGTACTGCGACCAAAGCCAAACACCAGTAGTAAACAAGAAGAAGAAGAAGCGAAGCAGCGTAGCCGGGTGTAGCAGAAAAAAATCAGTTGTTGTGGAGAATTGTGTGGGTATGGCGAGTGGGAAAGAACAGGAGTTGGAAGACGCGCCAGCAGCACTTTATAGGTCTGCTGTATGGGACCACTTTGCATTTAGAGTGACCTACGATGACGGCGGGAAGAAAGTTGTGGATAAAAGTGCAACAGTGTGCAAGCATTGTGCAACACGTTTTGTTTATGCTAACAGCAACATGACCAACATGTCATGCTAACCCCGAAATCCCACATACCCCATCAGCGCTCCGCCCCGCTGCGCTCCAGACCGGCTGCTCAAAGCAAAGCCTACAGCCTCCTCTGTGGCTCCCGTCCGCTCCGCTCTGAGTTCCTCTGAGATCGTAGAGGGCATGCGCCAGATGATTAAATTCAACGCAGCAAAACATGTGGAAATGATCCAGGGTTTCCGCGGATCATTTAAAATAATTACAATTCATTAATTTTGGGGGATTTTTTCATTAATTTCATACATTTTTATTTTTTCATAAATTTTTATTAATTTTTTATTTTTCTGTGTAACAATAAACATATGCCGAACCGAAAACCATGAACCAAACTGAAGCGTGGATTTTGTGAACCGTTCCACCCCTAGCGGCTAATACATTTTTTTTTTCATGGCGCTAAAAACAGACCAATAAAATTGATTGATGATGAGTATTCACAGTTCTCAATGCATGGAGCCGTTTGAAAACATTCAGCATCACCGGCGAGTTTCGGAAGGCTGGGCTGCTGCGGGATGCAGAGGAACGCGAGCGCTCAAGCGAGAGCGACAAGGATGAGACTGAAGTCAGCGACGGCATCCTGAAGCTGTTCCATTCAGACACCGAGGAAGAGGACTCTGAGGGTTTTACGGCGCAGGAGGAAGAAGAAAGTGATTAATGACTTTTCCTGGTCGGCTGCAATGTTCTGTGTGTTGTTCAATTAAAAGTACCGGTATATGCAGCGTTATTTGCGTGTTACCGACACATATGTATATTTAAATGTGTTACAGGTACTTTGAAAAAAAAAAAGCATTCATAATATGTACCGTATTTGTTTGTTTTATCATATGGATTAAATCAAACGTTAAAAAAATGCTCCCGTGTAATATCTTGCGCCCTATAGTCCGGAATTTACGGTAAGTAGACATGGCGCCGTCTGCTGGCAGAGCCACTCCCCTGTGTTCCAATCGACGTGCGGATCTGCAGTCAGCCAAAGGTCAATCAGAGGGGCGTATTTCTGAAAGCGTCAGAAGGACCGGCCGTTTCTCTAAAGTAGGAAGCTTTTCAATTTTCGACGCTCCATTTCTACGGATTATCCAGGCAGGAAGTTAGCTCAATGAAAGCAAAGTGGAGCCTGTCAGGGTTAGAAATAAAAGACCAGATCTGCAGTCTGTGGATCACATTTCTGGGACTTTTATGTAATAAAAATGTTTGTTAATACAAATAATCGACAGCCTTCATAAATATGTGCATTGAATAAAAACAATAAAAAAAAATTAGAACAAAAAAAAAACAAAAAAGGAAGAATTACTGGATAAAAGCAGACATAGAAGATGCTAGTAGTTCTAATAAAATAAAGACTTTTACCGATTTTTTGTCATATTTAAAACCTTCAAGTTCTCTATTATAGTGCAGTGATGCAATCCTGATGTGTGAGAGTCCAAGCGTGCAGAGAGGCTCCGCCTGAAAACATTCCCAGTGGAACAGAGGGGCAAGAAAGCTAAATGCTGAGAACTAACACAGCTACTTAACAGAGCATGACGGAGCCTGCCTCTCTGCTGTGCCTCACAGTGAAGCCCTGAACACACCGAATCCGATTTTTCTTCCGATCTGACAGAAAATGCGTCGGAAGAGGTTGTGGCGTTTAGCGCTCATTAAGAGTCAATGGGAACGATAACATCCTACATGATTCTCTGCAGGGGGATTACTTGGCTCTAAATGAGATTGACCCCTGCTCTATTTTAGTCGGACTACGCAGACATTCAGTAGTAATTTCATGAGTCTGGCAGGAAGAGAGATTACAAAGTAAAACACATTCGATTCGGTTAAATTCAATTCAGTTGATTTCTATAGCGCCAATTCACAACACATCAAGGAACTTTACAGTTCAACCAGATCATACAGTCAAACTGATTCAAAGTTTTCTATCTAAGGAAAACCAGTTGATTGCATCCCTCACACTAAGCATGCTTGTAGTGACAGTGGAGAGGAAAAACTCCCTTTAAACAGGAAGAAACCTCCAGCACACTGGAAAAACGATCTAGAAATAAGTAAAACTGTCTCAAATTAAGTGCTTTTACCCTTCATTTTAGTAGGTTAATGAGATGATTTGCCAATGGAATGAGTATTTTTACTTCCTGATCCACACACACCTCCTCCAGCTGTTCAGGGGGACCCCGAGACGACATCAGGCCAGCCCCGAGACATAGACCCTCAAGTGTGTCCTGGGCCTTCGACCAGGCCTCCTACCAATGGGACATACCTGGAACGCCTCCCAAGGGAGGTAACCAGGAGGCATCCGGAACAGATGCCCGAGCCTCCTCAGCTGGCTCCTATGGACATGGAGGAGCAACGACTCTACTCCGATTTCCAAGGTATTCATTTACTTTTTCACCTTTACAGAGATCGTTATGTTTTCTATCAGTAGATAAGGCTAGTGCCAGGGGAAGCTGATAGCTCAGCTGCAGAGGTGTAGGCAACAACAAATTCCTAGGGGTGCACATCACAGACACCCTCACTGGTCAAAAGGGCACAGAAGTGCTCCTGCAGAGGATGAGGAGAGCCCTTTTAATCCCTTTAATCCCTTTAAATAGAGCTCTGAACCTTCCATATCAATGCCTTTTGCATCATGTCTTTGAACTGGTTTTCCTACACTGTTTACATTTTGATCACTGCTGCACTTTATAAATGGAAATGTTAATTTCACCGTTAAGCTTTTTTGGATCGAAATTTCGTTTTGTGTACACTCTGTGTATACAAAACGACAATAGAATATAAAACTTGTCTAAATTTTGCATGGATGTTTTTTAAAGAAGAAAATTAACATACACCATCTTCAACAAGTTGGTTTGATAGGAAACCTATTCACTATAGAGTGCACCAAAAGCCTCCTGAGGGTGATTTTCCTTGAGTGCATTATTGCACTTTACTGTCGTTTTTTCTCCATATGAAAACACCTCATTGCTTTTATGTGATAGAAGGAACATGTTGCAGCTGAGCTAACCTGTCACTTCTGTAGCTCTCCATCTTCCTGCAGCTTAGAGTAAACTAATTACCATTCCAATCCATGTTTTCTGGTCTTCAGAATAGTTTACTCTGTCTGTTTAACTTGTTTCGAGCTAGTCACAATTACTGGACTAATTGCATTGCAGTCAAAGGTCTGCTTATGCTCTGCAGAAGTGTGGTAATATTAATAAGGAGGCTTGTTGCCCGAGGCGGTCCACAATTGTTTGCATTTTGTCTAAAACATTGCCGATAAGAAGTGGTTAAATGTGTTTGCTAATCGCAGCTTGTAAAGAGTATGATGCTCTGCAGGAGGAGAGCAGGCAGCTAGATCTGCTCAATATAAATCTGTTATTGAACAGTAAAAACATCAGCATCTAAAAAGATGTTTGATGACTTGGTGCTTAGAAATAGAGACATTAATTCCTTTGTCTGAAAATATGTTGTTATTATTATTGTTGTTAATAATCTCATTAATGGCGACAGAGATGATCTACTTGGTCCCTTCTTACAGTTTTTAACTCCGTCTGTTTCAGACGTAGCTGCTGACTGACTGCGTGTGTTTTCCTTTGATCATTTCTCTAATCCTACCTCAGAGTTTCCCTCCTAGATGAAGCCACTTAAGGAGCAACTAACCTTCTTCTAATCTTCCTCTCACATAGAAAGTACCGAGTCGGCCTCAGCAGAAAGACGTTCACACTGAGCCTTGCTCTGCTGCAGGTATCTTCCTGTAAAAAGAGTTTTTTTTTTTCTCCACCTCTGGATTCCAAAAGAAATGCCCTAACCACTAATTCCTTTTTCAACATAAATCTTTGTACTAAAATATTCTGTCATGATTTGTGGAGATAAGATCTAAAGAGAAGCGCCATCTCCTGGTCAGACCCTGTAATTGAGAGTGAAAGGGGGGAGTCAGAGTAAAAGTGGCAGGAAGTTGGAGGGCATTTTGCTGGGAGTTGCAGGGAAGTGGGCTGCCATTCGGCTGCCGTTTGAC